TTTTTTTTCCTTCTTTTTGGGGACAGAGTCTCACTCTGCTGCCCTGGAGTTGAATGCTATGGCAACATAGCTCACAGCAACCTCAAACTCTTAGGCTAAAACAATCCTCTTGCCTCAGCTTCCCAACAAGCTAGGATGGCAGGTGCCCACCACAATACCCAGCTAGTTTTTCTATTTTTAGTAGAGACAGGGTTTTGCTCTTGCTCAGGTTGGTCTCAAACTCCTGAGCTCAAGTAATCTACCTGTCTATACCTCCAGGACGGCTAGAATTACAGGCATGAGCTACCACATTCAGCCCTCCTCTGTACATTTTTTAGTTGTTACCATGGGATTACAATTAATGTCCTAAACTTACAACCATCTAGTTTGACCTGATACCAATTTAGCTTTAAAGACAATAGCATATACCACTTGACACCCAACCAGCAGGAATATAAGCCAGCACAACTCCTGTGGAGGGTAAGCTGGCAAAAACCATCAAAATTATAAACACATATACTCTTTGACCATCTTTAAAAAATTTATTCTACAAATGTATAAGCACAATAACAATGTACAAAACAACACACATTCAAGCTTTATGTGTACTAGCATAAGATTAGAAACAACCCAAATATCTATCAGTAGGAGACTGCTTAAATACATTGTGCTAAGTCCATATAATTCAGAGTATGACCTTATAAACAAGAATAAATAAGTTCTCTTTATTGATCTCTAAGGTTATAAGTGAAAACTAATGTATTAACCATGACACCTTTGAGTAAAAACAAGAGGAGATCTGGGCGGCGTCTGTGGCTCAAAGGAGTAGGGTGCCTGCCCCATGTGCTGGAGGTGCTGGGTTCAAACCCAGCCCCAGCCAAAAACTGCATTAAAAAAAAATACATTTTAAAAAGAGAAAAAAGAAAAAAACTGGTAGAACAATTTCTATGCCCCTGAATATTTGGCATATTTTCACATAATATTATCGTGAATATCTTTCATAGTCAAATACAGTTCACCTTAACCACCTCCTAGAAACACAAAATACTCCACTGTTAATGAATTTACTGTAATTTAACAAATCACATATTGACAGACATAATCCAGTTCTATTTTACACTGCTAAACAATGCTGCAGTAAGTAAATTCCTTTTACATATATGTTTACGAAAATTACTGAAAGGGGAATTACTAAATCAAGAGTAAACACATTTCACATGTTGACACATACTGTCAGACTGCCCTCCAGAAGGAATGTTTTCATCAGTTAATAGCTATACTAACAGTGGGTGGACAATAGCGCAGCATCCCCCTATACATGTGCTCACCAATCACTACCTAGTGCTGTTTCTCTTCAACAGATTTGCATTAACTTTTTTTTTTAATTGAATGGTAACTATGTACATTAATGCACTTCTAGGGTATAGTGTGGGGTTTTCACACACAATCCGAAACACTTCCATCAAACTGGTTAACACAGCCTTCATGTCGTTTTCATAGTTATTGTTTTAAAACGTTCACATTCTACTCTTAGAAAGATTCACTTGTACCTTTGTAAGATAAACCTCAGAAGTGATCCCTCCAATCCCCCTCCCTCCACCCATTCCCCTCTCCCCTCTCCCTCCCCCCCTATTCTTAGGCTTTAACTTTTTTTTTTTAATGAGGTCTAGCTACACTGACCAGGCTGGTCTCAGAAACTCCTGGCCTCAAGCAATCCTCCTCTCTAGGTTTCCCAAAGTGCTAGGATAAAAGGCATGAGCCACTGTGCCTGGCCCACTTTTCTTTAATGAATAATGAGGCTCTTATTTCTCTCCATAAGTTTCTTCTTTCATGTCTTTACCTTATTTTTTCTAGTGGCCTATTATTCTTTTTTTACATATTTGTTTGTATTGTTAATATGTAACTGTTTTAAATCCTGTTAGTAGTTTACAATTTTTTTTGCTATTATGTAAAATTTGTATATAGTATCTTTTTCTATATCAAATATTTCATTTTACAAATCACATGTGGCAGTATTTTCTTTTATGGCTTCTAATTTGGTGCCATGCTTGGAAAGGCCTCTTTTGTCTCATGGTGATTAAAAAAAAAAAAAGTATTCCATAAGTATTCTATACAAAGAAATTTAAAATGATTTCTTCCTATTAAGAGAGACTTTAAAATACAGACAGGGCTTCAGCAAAACAGAAGTGGAGGTACGTATAAACAAAATTAGGATGGCCGCCCATATTACTAGAATTTCTCTCCTGCCCATGTCTGTCTGTGTTCCCATCCATCCCCAGTAGATGGAGAAGCCCCTTTCCTCTCTGTAAAACTATAAGAATATAGACCTGGTGCCAGCAGCCATGCTCCCTACTGAGGAGATAAGCTGCCTAATTAAGCAAAATACACCTTAATTTATGAATACTTAAATGAAATGCACCAGCTGTGTCATTTTATAGCCATGCATGCCCACAGCTGTATAATCAACTCTTGGATTTATCCTGCCCTAAACATAGCCCTCAGTGCATGCGGTATCACAAAAAGCAGTCCTAGCACTTACAAATTTCAATAGCCTTTTGTAGCAGTCTTAGAAAACCCTACTTTTTAAACCACTAGTAACATTCTATTTTGAACAAGAAATTAATACCTAATCAAACCTATTTTGAGGATATGAAAAGTAAATCAGATTAATATATCCAAATATATCCCTCCCTCCCCAAATGCAGGACATCCCAGCAGAAGACAGCACTGTCCTACCCAGCAAGGCAAGAAACTAGTAAAGAAACTAGCCATCAAAATAGAGCCCAAGACTTGTGTCTAAGTGTTCAATTTCAATGAACTGAGGAGAACAGTTTTATTCTTTTACCAGACCCATGGTTCAGAAAGGAAAAGACTCAGCTTTTGCAGAAATACAATGGACTTGACCACTGGAAGTCAGCTTCACCAGGAGCAAAAGGAAGAGAAACAAAGGAGGAGATGGACAGGACAGTATTTTACCATAGCAAGGCTTTTATTCTCTCTTCTCAGAAACTATTCTTGAAAATACAGCGTTAGAATGGAAGCTCTTACCTACAGAAGGCTGGAATTGTGATGGAGCTGGTAGTGAAATATTTGGTACTGAAAGTGTGAAGACCTCTGCTGGGGACTGGACAGAGGGAGTATCTTCTGCTGGTGGTGTGAAATCTATTTCATCATCAAAATTATCTTCAAATTCCTAAATTAAAAGAGAGAAAGTATTAAAAACCACTGGCTAACATTTAAGATAGAGACATATTTACTCACTTATTTGGAACTTGCCAGTTTTTTTTCTAATTCATACCTACTTTAAGAAAAAAAGCACACATTATTATGTTCTTCAACTCTAAACAGCAGAATAAAAAAGATCTGAAAATAAATTACACACATTTTATGTAACATTTAAAACTGACAGTTTAGGCTGGGTACAATAGCTCACTCCTGTAATCTTTGCACTCTGGGAGGCTAAGGTAGTGGACTGCTTGAGCTCAGGAGTTTGAGACTAGCCTGAGTAAGAGCAAGACCCTATGTCTACTAAAAATAGGGGGAAAAAAAAAAAAAAAACACACAAAGAACACCTACCCTGGCAGATGCCTATAGTCTCGGCTACTTAGGAGGCTGAGGCAAGAGGACATTTGGTTTTCTAAAGATGATAACTTTAAAAGTAAGGATGCAGGCTCAGCGCCTATAGCTCAAGCGGCTAAGGCGCCAGCCACTTACACCTAAGGTGGCGGGTTCGAATCCCCAGCCCGGGCCCACCAAACAACGACGGCTGCAACCAAAAAATAGCCG